CTTAACATCCTTTTGGATTTCTAGTTAACTGAAGTATTAAGAAATAAAAAGGCCCCTGTGATATTTTTGTAATTATTACATTTATTGAATCGTGGCTATTTCCCCCTATGTTATTTGGCTTTATTAAATTTTCAGGTTTCTGTTCTACTGTACACACTGCTACATTATGAAATAACAGAGGAAAGCCTTACATCTTACACTCTCCTCTGGTGCTTCTAAACACAAAGAATACATTTAACCCTAGGCTTGCACAGTTAACAGACATTTTGCTTTGTTGTAGATAATCAAACGTTTGAGGAATGGGAAGGAGATGTAAAATAGTTAAAGAAACTTTGTAATGAAACCTGTTTTTAAAATTCCATTAGCTTGTTCCCTTGCTTCGAATGAAATAGTATGTGATAGACAGCTTATAGAATCCCTAAGGTCCACTTATTGGTAGGCCATATTTCACCACCAGATTCTGGTCTAAAATTTTAAAGCTACTTCATTGACTAGGGAGGATAGAAGGAGAATTGATGCCTTTGAGCTGTGGTGCTGGAGAAGAGTATTGAATATACCATGAACTGCTATGAAATGCAAGGAGAACAAACAGGTTTGTCCTAGAAAGGATGAAGCCAGGATGCTCCTGGGAGGCAAGGATTCTGAAGCTCTATCTGATATATTCTGGACATGTTGCAAGGAGAATTAGTCTTTAGGGATGATTGGGAAATTGGAGGGACAGCACAGGAGAGAAAAACCCTAGATGAGATGGATTGATTCAGTGACTGGGGTAATGGGGGTAGGTGGGTCAGAGATAGTAAGATTGGTATAGGATAGAACAGAGTTTAGGTCTTGTATATAGGGTTGCTGTGAGTTGCAGGTGACTTGACAGCACATAACAACTTCTTGTTTGTATCAGAAAGTGTAGGTTCTTTCTTAACAGGAAGCATTAGAAGCTCCTCTTCTGTACCAGTCTTTTTTTAGATGGTCCGCATTCCTTTGGCCTGCTAGATAACATGGGTCCCTTGCTCAATTCAAAGAGAGCATTTGCCTTCCTACTTTCAAGTGGTTTCTTGATAACATACTCAATGTTTTAAGTTACGTCAACATGAAACACTGGTTTTCCCACTTGCTCCTTGGCTCTGCGGGGCGTCAGTGTGCCAACTTTCATGGTCTCATCACATTTTGTTACTCTGGCAATGTTCTTGTTGTTCTTTTACTTGGCTTTCTTGTTTTTCTTCATCTTATCAAGAGACTCATCTTATGCTAGCAGCCACTTTCGCCTTTCAGAGGTGTCCTTCTCTAGTAGTGCTGTTGCTAATAACTGCAAGGTTTAATTAGCTAAAACACAAACTACTTGTCACTAAAGTTCCCAGAAACCAGCTCAGCTCAATGAAATCTATTAGATTTAGGGTAAATTTGGAGGAGAAAGGAAACCAAATTAAGTATTATTTCATGCTAGTTGGGCACTGTGTGAGAACATTAACTGGTGTTTCACTTCTCTAGTTCCAGGTTCAAATCATTAGGGCGGTTCAAGTAGAGATTGAGGTACAAGACAATAGATGTTCTCAAAAACATCTATTTCAAATTATAAACACTTAAAAAAAATTGATGGCCAAATACTTTTTTCCTTGTTTTTCACATTACACCATCTCCTTTAGCAACTCAGATGGTTTCTTCTTATTGTAATTTAGATATTTAAATCTATCACTTCTGGATCTCTTTCTCTATCAGGAATTCAGAATAAAAATGTTTAATACTGGCTGGTTTGGCACATCAAGCTTCCTGTAAATTTTAATGGATTTTGTGATTGGGAGTAGGAGGACCTCAGGGAGGAGATAAAACTACTAATGAAAGGTAAATGTAATCTTTTAATGTGGTTTTATAATGTGCACACACAGGAAGGTTAAATACCTACAGCGTAAAACCCCTGAGGTTCTGTTCTTTTTAGTTATTTTTCCCTTATGTATCCAGTAAAGATTTTTTTTGTTTAAAAATGGTTCATTTATTAAATAATTTCGCTCCTCTTTCTTCATCAACACAAGTGTTGTATGTGCCGTGGAGTCACTTGCGACTCATAGCGACCCTATCTATAAACAACAGCTTTGAAGCCTTCCCTGTCCTGAGCCAGTCTCACTGAGTCCAACACACTTATCCCTATTGCCCCAGTTACTGTATCAATCCATCTCACTGGGGTCTTCCTCTCCTGTGCTGACCCTCCACCCTTCCGAGCATGAAGTCCTTCTCCAAGAATTAGTCCATCGTTGCCATGTTGCCATGGGCCCAATGTATGTGAGACAGAGCTTCAAAATCCTAGCCTTCAAAGAGAAACTTGTTATGCTAATCAACACTGCTGTTGTTAAAAAAACAAACAAACAAACAAAAAAACCAAAACCACTGTTGTTGTTGTTAGGTACCATCGAGTCGCTTGTGACTCAAAGCGACCCTATATACAACAGCCCTAAACTCTGCTCTGTCCTGTGCCAATTGCACTGTCTCTGACACTCCCATCCCGATTATCCCAGTCACTGAATCAATCCACCTCATAGAGGGCTGTCCCCTCCTGCGCTGTCCCTCCACCCTCCCAAGCATGATGTCCTTCTCCAAGGACCGGTCTCTCCTCACAATATGTCCAAAGTATGTTAGACGGAGCCTCAGAATCCTTGCCTCCAAGGAGCCACCCGGTTTAACCCTTTCCAGGACAAATCTGTTTGTTTTCCTAACAGTCCATGGTATTCTCAGTACTCTTCTCCAGCACCACAGCTCAAAGGCATCAATTCTCCTTCTATCCTCTTTGGTCATTGTCCAACTCTCTGATGCATAACAAGTGATTGCGAAGACCATGGCCTGTATCAAATGCACCTTAGTCTCCAGAGAGACACCATTGCTCTTCAGTACTTTGGAGAGGTCCCTAACAGCAGACTTTCCCATGGCAATGCGCCTTTTAATTTCCTGGCTGCTGGTGCCGAGACTGTTGACTATGGAGCCAAGTAAACTAAAGCTGTGTACAATCTCAATCTCTTCACCATCCATCCTGATGCTGCCAATTGGTCCAGTGGTGAGAATCTTTGTCTTCTTGACATTGAGCCTCAATCCATATTGGAGGCTGCAGTCCTTGACCCTCTGCAGCAGGTACTTCAGGTCCTCTTCAGTTTCAGCAAGCAGGGTTGTGTCATCTGTATAACACTGAACTCTTGACCAACATTTGATATCAATAGTGTCACAGTGAAAGACAAATTCACCATGAAATCTTTAACCAAACCCCTCAAACTCACTGCTTATTCGTTGTTTCTGATTTATGCTGACCCTCTACTGGGTTTCTAAGGCTATAAATCATAATGGTAGGAAACTGCCCATCTTTCTCCTGCCTACGTGATAGTAGATTCAAACCTCCAGAAATCCACAGCACAACTTTCTATGTACTATACCACCAGAGATCCCTTTAAGAAATCTCATCATCAAACTCACCTCATTGCAATTGAGTCAAAGCAGATTAATAGCTGACCCTCCAGCAGGTATTTGAGGCTGTAAATCACACGGGAGAAGAGTGCTCATCTTTCTCCCACAGAGAAACTATGGTTGAAGCTCTAGAGAGGTGCAGCCTTTTGGGTTAGCAACACAACTCCCTACAGATAACGCCACACATGCTCCTTACAAAGTCCTAAACTCAGGTCATTGCCAGTGAGTTGAATTGACTCACAGCTGACACTTCAGCTGGTTTCTGGAGGCTGTCTATCACCTGGGAGGACACTGCCCATCTTTCTCTCATGGAGTCCCTGGTGGATTTGAACTACAGAGAGGCACCACATTTGGGTTAGCAGCACGTATTTCTAAGGACTAGGCCATCAGAGCTTCCATGAAATCTTTTTATTTTTTAACATCTTTTCCTCTAAATTAATTTTGCTGCTGTTGCTGAAAAATGCACAGCAAAGCATGTATCAGTTTAAGATTCTATATATACAAATCAGTGGCACTGATTACATTCTTGCAGTTTGCAACTAGGCTCACCCTTTCTGAGTTGCCATGAAATCCTGTCGTGTGTAAAACTATGATCTTCCTTAGACTACCACAAGTATTGAACACAGAATACAGATCTTCATTACTTTGACCCAGGAGGACAAAACAGGGAGCACTTGGAAATAAAGTAAGAGAGCTATCAAAAGTGAGACTCTGGAGTCGGGAATGGATGCTTGCCACAGGCCTTATTTTTATGGTGTCCTCAGCAAATCACTACCAAGGTTTGCAAGTTTCTTTTCTGTACATCCAACCCGTCTCACCGAAACCACCCTTCCCACCCTCCATGCTTCAAGTCCAATAAGGCCTGTTAGGTTTTAGCAAGTGTTACCATGGCATCAATCAGTTCACCTGAACTCAGTGTAACATGGAGGTTGTTCTGAATCACAGGGAAGGGTGTCTGGGAAAGTCACTTTCCGCAGGAAATGAAAAAACTAAAGTCTTCAGTCATTTCAGTTCTATTTTTAAGGAGATAAAAGGAACACCTGCACTGGGCTCCTCTCTACAGGCGTCTCCCCAGCTTTGCATATCTTTGGGTGCTGGAAGGTTGCACTTCCTCCTGAGCTCAGAGCTTCTTTTCCACCTGTTTTCTCAGTACCAAGAAGCTAACATTTCCACTATGCTTCTGTGCATCCTGAGAGGCTGACTCAGCCATATGCTGAGCTGACGTCTGCCAGGGCTGTCCAGGTTAGTTCTGGAGGCACCAGTTAATACTGGAGTTACAAAAATGTCCAAGTTTTAGCTAGTTTTCCCCTAATCTTAATTTAATCACAAACTTTAGGGGTTTTGTTTTTTTAGTGAACAATTTTGCTGCATGTATTCGTCTTCAAGAACATGTAGTATGTTGGTTTTTTAAAGATTATTTATAATTTAACTTGTACCTCACCGATTTTTTAAAAAGCCCTTGGAAGGAATGTCTATGGTGACAATGAATGCAATTATAAGAATTTAGCCAAATTATTCAACTTCTCAAATCTTAGATGATTTAACTTGCAGTGTTTTTCTTACTACTGTTTCAGAGAAATAGACGCTAGCTTTTCATTTGCAAATATTGTGGAAGAGTCATTCATTAGTTCTTGAAGTTGAATAACAGGAAATTGTACTTGCTTTTCAAACCATTTGGCAACTGTAAGAAGCTGCTGATCACAAAATGCACGTCCAATAAATTGTAGTCCGATCGGCAATCCTTGGCTGGAGAGGGCCATAGGAATGCTTACTGCTGGCAATCCTGAAGAAAAGAAAGAAACTTATTAGATTATTAATTTTCCCTCCTAAGAGGCAAAGGTCTCTTCTACTTTTAAGAGCTAGTAGGTACAAGAAAGTATAAAGTGTTAAAAATCATAAAAATATTATACCATGTATATGCTTCATACCTATTTAGTTCACTTAACAATATATACTAGAAATCACCATATATATCAATTTACAGATCTTTTCTTCATTGTTTAGCAATAGTTTCTTAATACCCTATTATGCAATTGTACTATAGTTCAACCAGTGGCCTATAATTGGGCATTCAGATTGATTCCAATGCTTCAGTGAAGAATATATAGATGTTTCTTGGTATTCTTGGGAGTTTCTCAGATGAAAGGGATTGCTTTATCAAAGGATAAGGGCATATGTAATAAGATATTGCCAAATTCCTCTCCAAAGAAGTTCTACCACATTGAATTCCTACCAGCAACAGCAAAACGATTTATTTCCTTATAGCCTGTCCCACAGAGCATGTTCTTGAGCTTCTGAAGTTTTGTTAATCTGTTAGGTGAGGAATAGTAGTTTAACATAGTTTTAATTTTAGGTTTGGTGCAGAGAACACAGGAAACAAACCAGGGACAATTATAAGCACATTTTCAAAGATTAAAGGACAGGTACAACTTAAAGAAAACTCCTATTGGACAATTTGAGCACCAAAGTATTACAACAGTAATTTCTTATATTCTAGTGTTGTTGTCAGGTGCCGTAAAGTTGAGTACAACTCATAGCAACCCTATGAACAATGTATCTGAACCTTGTCAATGTATCTGAACCTTGTCTTATCCTGTGCTATCTTCAGACTTCCTGACACACTAAAGCTCATTGCGGCAGTCACTGTGTAAACACATCTGGTTGAGGGTCTTCCTCTGCTTCGCCAAACCTTCCCCCTCCCAACCATCATGACCCTCTCCAAGGAACAGCTCCTCCTAGCAACATGCCCAAAGTATGAGAGGTGAAGCCTCATCACCCTTGCCTTCAAAGAGCACTCCAGCTGTCCCTCTCTCAGTGTTCTTCTCTAATACCACAGCTGAAAGGCATCAATTCTTCTTCTGTCATCCCTATTCTGTCCAGCTTGGAAAAACCATGGCCTGAATCAGACACACCTTAGTCCTCAAATTGACATCTTTACTCCTCAATAATTTCAAAGGAAAACATGACAAAGCAAAAGAGCAGGACAGATTTCAAAGGGCAGCAGGGCAACTCAAATGGACAAAGCCAAGTATTATAATGAAATGTGCAGAGACCTAGAGTTGGAAAATAAAAAAGGGAAGAACTCGCTCTGCATTTCTCAGGCTGAGAGAACTGAAAAAACAAAGTTAAGTCTCTCAAACTAAGAGAACTGAAAAACAAATTTAAGCCTCAAGTTGCAATACTGAAAGATGCTATGAGCAATATATTGAATGACCCAGAAAGCATTAAAAGAAGATGGAGGGAATCCACAGACTCACTGTACCAAAAAGACTTGATTGACACTGAAAAATTTCAGGAAGTACCAAGTTATTATAGTCTAATAATTCTTTAAACAACCTCTCACGTACAAGACTCCACAGGGGTATAGTTTGCAAGAAGTAGCGCTGCCGACCCAAAGATGTAGTTTTTCTGGTTGTTTGAATCCACCTGCTGCTCTGTAAGAGAAAGATGAGCAGTCCCCTGTGCAATTTATGCCTTCTGAAAATCTCTGGGAGGTCAGCTATGAGTTGGTTCTAACTCTATGTCAGTAAGTTTGAGTCTGTTTGCTACCTAGCTAAAAAAAGTAGAAGGAAGGAGAGCATTAGAAGAGGTAGCATTTTGCAATTCCATAGTAATAACTGAATCAAGTAAGAATAATCAATGAATGCTAAAAGTAAGTACAAGATTATTATGGAACTGAATATTCACAGGTCAAAAGTATCATTTCACAAGTGGCTTTTAAATGACAAACAAAAAGTCTATATTTTTAAATACTGATTTAAAGAATCCAGTAATTACCTCTTTACCCATTGAACAGCTTTCCAAGTGAGACTAACTAACATTAACTATTTCCTGATGTGAAGAGTATACAGAATTTCTGCCAAAAATGTTTAACTCAACCCAATCAGGAAGAGATAAATCGAGATGAGTGGGATATTATAACAAATTCATCTAATCCACCAGATGCTCCACCGGAAAAGGAGGGGCAATCTCCTCCTGTGCCAGTTGGATCCAACCTGATGGTACACACACACACACACACACACACACACACACAAACACAACACCAAAAAATAAATTTAAAAAGGCAGAGAATTTATCAGAAATCATGAAGGACAGTAAAGTATTTTAGGTTCTAAAGAAAAAAAACTATTAAACCAAAATCCTATATGTAGCAAAAATGTCCTTTAAAAATAAAAGGGAAATTATGACATTTTCAGGAAAAAGAATGCTAAAAAATATTTATTGCTTAGAAGACCTACCTTAAAAGAATGCCTAAAGGAAGTAGACTAAACAATGTAAAAAAAACCAAACCAAACCCACTTAAAAAAATTTTAAAAACTTGGAACATAACTGTGAGGTATGAAACCATCCTACAAAAAAAGCAATTCGGCCTTTATTCATAATTTCTTAGTTCTTTCAAGCCATGCTAATAGCTGAGAGGGGGCTGTCCAGAACAAACATACTGGTGCAGAATATGATTAACACACACACACACACACACACACACACACACACACACACACACACATTCACATTTCTAAGTATTCCAGAAGGACAAGCTTCCAGGAAACAGTGTAGCTAGAGTTTAAGTTGAAAACCAGGGGTCTGCTTATGTATCTGAAAAAGACAAAACATTCTTGAGGTATCCTCACCTGCCATATTTACCGCCTGTGTGAAAATATCACCCTGGGCACTTCGAGTTCTGTTGTCTTCCTTGATGAACTCCAAGTATGGTACCGCCTCATTCAGAGTTGTAGGAGTTAGCAAGACATCAACTCCAGAGTTAAAAACATTTATAAAATCATTAGCAATGAGGCGCCTCACTTTCTGTGCTTTGACAAAATACTTTTCATAGTTTCTGTGGGGGGAAAAATTAGATAAATTTAAGATATTTTTTACTATTTTTTGAATCAAATTTCACATATTAAGATTGGTAATAAGCCACTAAATTCTTAGTCTTTAAGAGTAGAACTACTAAGATTATTATAATACATAAAAAGAAATTTTATTCAACTGTGCTGTGTATCTTAAAAAGCTGTATATCTAGAATACAATCAGAATTCACTAACAGATGTACCCCAACAAATATAATCACAAAATATTAACACTTCCTTGGAACATCAATAAACTAGCACATTCAGAGAAAATCAAATGTAATGAAAAACAGGCAGGTGTAGAGGTTGGACTAGGATTAGGTCACCAGAGGCTCATCCTAATACTCTTTCTATTGAAGAGTTTTATTTCATTGATACTAAAACAAGCCCAACAAAAATTCTGTATGCACAAGAAATAAAGAAAAACATAGAGTTATGAGAAAATTGAAGAATTTTTTTAAAAACCTACTTTATACTTCAATATGATATAAAAATATACTTGATGGGGTTGGCTGCAGATTGACATAGCAGAAGAAAAAAGCAACAATTTTAAAGATAGGATTAGAACAATACAAAAGGCACAAAGAAAAAATAAGAGGTGAGGAGAAGAAGCAAGCATCAGTAGGACAGCACTAATCAGATATATATATATATAGTTGTTGTTAGGTGCCGTCAAGTCATAGACGACTCACAGCCCAACGTAAGGCCTGAGCAACATATATTTATGTATATATACTTATATATACACATATATATAAAATTATATATCATGTATACATTACATATCATGTATATATTACATAGCATGTATACATATACATACATATACACACACACACACACATATGTTGTTGTTGTTATGTGCCATCGAGTCGTTTGTGACTCATAGCGACCCTATGTACAGCAGCCCTAAACCATGCTCTATCCTGTGCCAATCTCATTGCCTATGACACACCCATCCCAATTACCCCAGTCGCTGAATCAATCCACCTCATTGAGGGTCTTCCCCTCCTGCACTGTCCTTCTACTCTACCCAGCATGATGTCCCTCTCTAAAGATCAGCTGTGAGCTGGAAGCCTCTTGTCTAAGGACTCCATTTATATAAATATATATATGTGTAAATGGAGCCCTTAAACAAGAGGCTTCCAGCTCACAGCTGATTGTTAACAAAATCAAAATGGCCAATGAGCTTTCACTTAATTTTTAACAAAAATAAAAAACGCCCAAACATTTTACACCTCAAATCAAAACACCCTACCCTCCACAATCCAACTGCTCCAAACTGGAAGGCCCCAACCGACTTAAATACAAAGGCCTGCCAACCAGGTCCTGATTGCTTAAACAAGATTAATCATATTAATATACATGTAAATTAGCATGTGTATTAATGCCTTGATATATTACTATGAACATAATTAATTATAATAATATTAATACTATCGAGAAAATTATAGTTATATTAAGATTAATTTGACTATTGTTATATTAATTACTATATATGTAAATAAGATTAATATATATGTAAATTGAGTCCTTAAACAAGAAACTTCCAGCCCATAGCTGATTGTTAACTAAATTAAAACAAAAACCTGAGAGCTGGACAATGAATAAGGATGGCAGAAAAGGATACCTTTGAGCTGTGGTGTTGGAGAAAAGCACTGAACATCCTATGGATGGCCAAAAGAACAAACAGATATGTCTTAGAAAATGTGCAGCCAAAGTGCTCCTTGCAAGCAAGAATGATGAGGTTTCGTCTCACATACTTTGGGCATGTTGCTAGAAGGGAATATTCCTTGGAAAGGGACGTGATGTTAGGAGGGGTGGAGGGTCAGCGAAGGGCCCTCACCCAGGTGGACTGACACAGTGACTGCTGCAATGTGTTCTTGTGTATCAGGAAGTGAGGAAGGCACAGAATAGAACAGGGTTCAGATCTTTTGTTCATAGGGCCACTATAAGTTGAACTCAACTCAACAGCACTTAACAACACAACAAATGGGATCCTAGAAAGACAGGAAAATACTTGATGAAGTAACAACCAAAATTTCCCAAAATTTGATTAAAAACCTACAAATGCAAAATTTGGCTGCTCCTACTTCAAAATATTTGTTTGTTCTTTTGCAATCCATGGAATATTTAGTACATTTCTCCAACACCACACCTCAAAGGTATCAATTCTTCTGTCATCCTTATTCACTGCAGCTCTCATATGCATAGCAAGTGATTGGAAAGACCATGGCCTGAATCAGGCACAACTTAGTCTTCAAACTGACATTGTTGCTCTTCAGTAATTTGGAGACGTCCCTGAATGCAGACTTTCTCAATATTTCTTCTGATCTCCTGACTGCTGGTACCAAGTGTGCTGATTGTGGATTCAAGTAAGATGAATTCTCTGACAGTTTTAAATCTTTTCTCCATCTATCACTATGTTGCCTACCAGTCAAGTTGTAAGAAGGTTGTTTTATTTTTATGTTGAGGTATAATCCAAATTGAAAGCTTAGTCTTTGATTTCCTGCAACAAGTGCTTCAAGTCCTCTTCAGTTTCAGTAAGCAAAGTTATATCGTTTGCATAACGCAAGCTGTTGATAAGCCTTCCTCCAATCCTAATGCCAGTCTTCTTCATATAGTCCATCTTCTTGAATGATTTGTTCAGCATATAGATTGAATAGGTATGGAGAAAGGATACAATTCTGACATGCACCTTTCATGATTTTAAACCATGTAATGTTTCTTTCACTGTTCACACAACAGCCACTTGGTCTAGGTCTAGGTTTTGCATGAGCACAACTAAGTGTTCTGGAATTCCCATTTTTCTCAATGTTAGCCATATTGTCTTGTGATCCATATAGCCAAACGCTTTTGCATATTCAATAAAACATAAATAGACATTCTTCTGGTATTCTTTGCTTTCAGCAAGGATCCATTATCATCAATAATAGCCCTGGTGTCATGGCCTCTTCTAAACTCAATGTGAACTTCTGGCAGTTCTCTATGAATATACTATTCTAGCAATTGAAAAAATAATCCTCAGCAATATTTTTCTTTCATGCAATATTCATTATATTGCTTGATTAGTTCCACATTCTGTGGGATCACCCTTTTTGGGAATGGGAACAAATATGGACATCTTCCAGTCAGTTGTCCAGGTAGCTGTCTTCCAAATTTCTTGGCACAAACTGGTAAGTATGTCCAAGGTTACATCTGTTATTTGAAACATGTCAATTAGTATTGCATTAATTCCTGGGCTTTATTTTATTGCCAAATCCTTCAGTGCAGCTTGAATATCTTTATTACAGTTGGCCCTTGAGCATATGATACTTCCTGAAATATTTTGGTGCCAGCCAATTCTTTTTGGTACAGTGACTCTGTATTCCTCCCATCAGTTTTTAGTGGTTTCTAGATCATTTAAGCTGGGTTTAGAAGAGGTCGTGGCAGTAGGGATATTACTGCCAATGTTAGATGAATACTGGCAGAGAGCAGAGAGTACTAGAAGAATGTATATCTGTGTTTCATTGACTATGCAAAGGCATTTGATTGTGTGGATCACAATAAATTGTGGCTAACCTTGAAGAAAATGGGAATCTCAGAACACTTGATCAGCTTATATGAAACTTATACTTGGACCAAGGAGTAGTCCTCAGAACAAAACAAGGAAACACTGCATAGTTCAAAATAAGGAAAGGAGTGCATCAGGGATGCATCCTGTCCCCATACCTTCTCAATCTGTATGCAGAACAGATCATTCAGGAGGCAGGCCTTTAGGAGGAGGAGGAGTCTGACACAAAGATTGGAAGAAGACTCATTAACAACCTACGATAAGGAGATGACACAACCTTGCTTGCTGAAACTGAAGAAGACCTGAAGCACTTGCTGCAAAAGGTCAAGGAATATAGACCTCATTATGGATTGAGGCTTAACATCAAGAAGACAAAGATGCTCTCCACTTTTGGTATACTTTTGGGCCATAATAACACCATAATAGATAAAGAAGAGATTGAGGTTGTTAGCAATTACAGCTTGCTCAGATTCACAATCAACAGCCGTCAGGAAATCAAAAGAGAAACTGCATTGGGAAAATCTGTCATGGACCTCTCCAGAGTGCTGAAGAGCAATGATGTTAGTCTAGATACAAAGGTGTTCCTAATCCAGGCCATTGTCTTCTCAATTATTTGTTATGCTTCAGAGAGTTGGACAATGACTAAGGATGACAGAAGAATAAATGCCTTCAAGTTGTGGTGCAGGAGAAGAGTCTTGAACAACTCTTGACTGCCAGGAAAACAAATAGGTAGTGTGTCTTGGAGAGGGTGTAACCAAGTCTCTCCTTGAAGGCTAGGATTCTGAAGTTCCACCTCACTTACTTTGGGCACATGGCCAGGAAAGATTGGTCTTTGGAGAAGGACATCATACTCGGAAGGGTGGACACACAGCACAGGAGAAGACAACCCCGGATGAGATGGATTGATACAGTGACTGGGGCAATGGGGGTTGTTGGGTCAGAATTAGTGAGACTGGTTCAGGACAGGGAAGGAAGGGTTCAGAGCTGCAGTATGTAGGGTCACTATGGCATCACAGGTGACTCAACATTTTATGACAGGTTTGGAAGCAGGAGTGGCATTCACCTTCTAAACATGCCTCTGGAAACTCTATGAACTTTGATAAATGGTCATAGTTGTAGAGAGGCTTCAGTCCTTTTGTTCATAGGGTTGTTTTGAGTCGTGCTTGACTCGAAGGAAATCAACAACAAGATCACTCAAAATTTTGCCCACAGCAAAGTTCTAAGTATAACAATTCGAAGTTGGGTTTTTCTTAAATTTATTTATTTTATTATTTTGTGTGCATACTGCCAAATGGAATCTGACTGGTATAGGAGGATATTGCCCCTCCTTCTCCAGCAAAGCATCTGGTGGATTCGAACAGTATACCTCTGGGATTGCAGTGCTGTTTCTTGCCACTAGGCCACCAGAGCTCTTGGAACCTGAAGTTTTGT